CTTTCACGGCTGTAAAGTCCAGAGGCTCATTAGAAAATAGGAGAAAGTTAGCTACATAATATTATTATGTACAAGGCAGGTTAGAGGTCATGTATAAACACACACACACACACACACACACACAGACAGACAGACAGACAGACACACACACACACACAAACACACAGACACACACGTACACACACGCTCAGAAAAGGAGCACATAGCAGTCAAGCGGGAGAAAAGCACTCAGCAGGAGTATAAGAGATCCATAAGAAAGGAAAGAGAACGGCAGAGAGATAGAAAGAACAGCCGGAGGAGGCGCTGAAGTTGGACCATCTCAGAGGGAAGGATAATAAAACTTATCTTTACAATATTTGCCGAGCTTGCCCTGCGACAAGTGTAGAGCACGTTATTCACAATAGATACATGTCAAATTAGTCGTGTGTTTCGAGGGGAGGTAAAGACTCTGGAAACTGATTTCTTCTCTCAAGGTACAATAGTCTAGAAATCCATCTGTTTGTTGGCGGATCATGTAACAGTCGTCAAGCACCAGAATGGGAGCACCAGCCAGTAATGCCCCGTTCTCTATCTCTCACATCGGACGGTGATGAGGGTGAGAGGGAGATAGTGATAGAGAGAGGGGTGGGGTGGGGGGGTGGGATGGCCTGGGTTGAAGCTGTAGCAAGATACCCATTGGCAGTCAGCCATCAGCCACGCCAGAAGCTTGTGCCGCACACTTTCAGCACTGCACATTCGTCTGCGTCGGTGAAGCGAGCCAATCCTCAGCATTAGACATCATGGTACAGTCAGCATCAATCGTACGCTTGACCACATGCCAATAAATTATCTTCACACAGGGACAGGACGCTGCCTGCTGCCACAGCAGATCAACACATAGCTTTGCAGCACGCGGCGCTTGAGCCCCTCTGGACTCGGAGAGCGCGCGCGTACACACACACACGCAGTACACGACCACACGTGGGGCAGTGAAACGCACACGCGACGCACGTTGTCACCAATGTTCAACGTCCGCGAGCGCGAGTGCGAACACCGCGCCGCTACTATCTGACCGGAAAGACCAGGCGCAGCTGCTCCAGGAACAGAAAGGTGAGAATGGTCTGCGGCGCCAGGCGCACAAACGCCGGCGTCATGCCCTTGAAGAAGGCCAGTACGCCTTCCTGCTGGTACGTCTGCCGAAGCATGTTGACGGCGCTGCACTCCTCGCCCTCCACCGCCTTCATGATGCGCGTCTTCACGACGTCGACGGGCATCGTGAGCAGGGTGGCGGCCGCGCCGGCCATCGTACTCGCCGCGAAGTGCGTCAGGATGTTGTCGGCGAACAGGCCCGAGCCGATCAGCATCGTCTTGGCCTGGTCGTACACCGCCAGCTGCCCCGTCGTCATCATCACCGCACGCGACAAGTTCATGTTCAGGCCGCGCCCGAAGCCCGCGAAGCCCTCCACCGTCGCCAGGCGATAGTAGCCGTGGAACGCGTGCCGGTAATTGTAGCGAAGGTTCGGCGGCAGCTTCAGGTCATTCTGCATGCGTACGTTGACGATGTCCGACGGATTGCCCACCAGGCCACCTGCTAGACCTCCCCAGAAGCTCAGGAAGAGTTTCTGGTACACAGGCAGCGGCTTCGTGCCGTTGTCGGTCAAGTACGCTTTGCCCGAGTCGTAGACGCCAAAGCGCACGGTGGAGTAGGTCAGCTGGCGCATGACAGAGGCTGACAGTCCTTGGTACAGCTTGCTCAGGCCGTGATGCTCTCTGACGTTCCTTGCCATGCCCAGCATTGTCAAGCCCTGTCCTTTCTGTGTCTGTAAGTGTACCTTGAGCAGGTCCAGCGGGTGCGTGCACAACGTGCCCATGCTGGAGGCAATGCCACCCAAGTACCAGCGATGCCCCTTCGGTTTCTTGTCGTCTGCAGTCCGGACGAGGCTGCCAGGGGCAGGCGGAGAGCTCTCCGCAGACGCTGCGGCGGCCATGTTCTCAACTAGTCTCTTACAAACACGCTCTACCACGGCTGAGTCTGCACCACAAATTAATAGGGAGCATTGCCCGCGGAGCTTGGAATGTATGCCAGGTTGCACAAATACGACAAAGTTACAAAGCAATTGTCAACAAACGCCATCCACATGATCTACTGCAAGAACACGATCTCGTATACGCGTACCTGATGATGCACAAATAATTCAAGAGTTCGCCGAAGTAACAGTTTTTTGTCATGAAGTGGAGGCGCCATATTTTGTTCACATGGCAACCACCGTACATGCACGTGCAAACGCGCCGTACCCCGTGCAAACAGCTTGTCGTGCACGTGCACGCAATGCGCATTCGAATCCTTTGCGCATTCGAATGCATGCACGCGCACGCGCACATGTACTCGTACTGCATGCCGGCCGGCGCCCTACATACGCGCCCCGCGCGCCCGCGCTGTACAAGCTAGCTCTCAAAAATATGAGGTCAGCTCACGTGCACCTCGCCTGAGAGCTAAGGCAAAGGCCGATTTCAGATTTTGCCAGTGAAGCTTCGATATTTTGCCGCATAATTTTGCTGGCTCATCGGCCAAATTTTTTCTTTCATTTTGCCAGGCCACTCGATATTTTGCTCCCTTTTTGCTCCAAAATTTGTGTCACGTGTGGGAAAACGACTCCATCATCAGTGCACATGTCTGTCGTGTCGGAGCCGCACCGTCGCGGTGCGCTCGCGCGCTCGCGCCCTTTCCGCGGAATGAACATTTTATTAAAATAATTATTAATTGTTGTGAAAGAATTTTTACAACTAACGCACTGTACTGGGAAATCCCCTCATCACTGGCGCTGTTTCACTGTGTTTGTCGCCTCCATCCAGACTCCACACTTGCACTACGACCTACAAAGACAAGTACAAGCTAGATTCATGGACAGCTTTGTCTTTGCGTGGAGGTGCGCAGGAGGAGGCTCGACACCTGCCTGTTATGTCGTGACAAGGAGGTGACCTTTGCCTGGCGCTGCATGGAAGTGACCCCTACTGCATGCCTAGCGCTATCCTTGCATGCAGTGCAGATTTTTTAGTGAGATTTGTCTCAGCTTGCTTGATTGAAATAAACAACACCAAGAACTGTGTGATTTGAGTCAAGAACTAGTACTAGCTACCCAGTAGATCTACGTACAGACAGATCTATGATTATGTCTATGAGCTGGGTAGCGCATATCCACTATCATCCAAGACAATCAAGCACTTCGATTTTTGCAGCCTGAGCTGAGGAAGGTTCTGTGCTGGCTGCCCGGTGCAGACCAATCTGACTCCTGTCAATTTACGGCCACCGCTAGCTAGCCTAGCACGTAAGATCGTTCATCACGCTAATAACGCGGACAAGCTGCAGCACAGTCTCCTGAACTGCTAGCTAGCGGTAAGCAAGTAGTTATTGTGGGTGCATGGACGGGGTAGGTAGGGATAGGTAATTCTGACCGAAAAGACTTTCTCAGGAATATGCCGAAGTAAGTAACTGCAGTGCTGGTATGTAAAACGTGTCGTAGATCTATGTGGCTTGTCCAGGCGCTGGCGGAGACCGATCGAACCCGGCGTCCACAGGCATGCAAAGCTTCACCGCGCGCAGAATTTACTGCCGAATCTTGGGAGCGCACATCCCGTGCATGGCGCGCGACGGATAAAATTAGGCATTCGCAAGACAAGCGAAGAGATACAGTCATGTAGATCTACACATTATGCTTTTTCTCCGGAATTGGAAGGCGATATCCACATGTTCAAAACAGTCATTCTTTCAACAAAGCAAAACAGAAAAGCGCCATGCATGCACGTGAACAGTCTGCACATCCTGAAAAAAATATGCACGTGACGTACTACTACTACTACTAGTGTTGCTAGGCCCACCGCTGAAATCCATGACAGGCAATAGTCACTAGACAGTACATATTGAATAGTCTACTACAGGTGGAATCCTGATAATTCGAACACCAAAATGCCGCGGAAAAACTTCTAATTATTCCGGACATTCTAATTATCCGAACATGTACCCACAACACATTATGTATGTCAAAATGCTCTCATCGACAGGCAGAATTGCACTACGCACCTTAGACACAGATTTAGTGGACACTGAACTGCATACTCATGCAAACCAAACTGATTTGCAGAAAATAAAGGGAACTTCTAATATGTTTTGCTAACTTCGAATTATCAGCACAAATCTCACACATTTTCTATGCAAGTGGATTCCGTGAGACTTCTAATTAACCGGACATACCCAGTTCGAGGTTCTAATTATCAGAAATTGTTATGTGGAAAATGGAAATCATATTGACAGAAATCGGTCCCGGAAGAAACTTCTAATTAAGCCATATTCGAATTATCAGGATTTCACCTGAAATAGTAAAACAGTCAACTCCTGATATAACGAACACCATTGTGCAGGAGAATTAGTTCTTTATAGCCGAAGTTTGTCAATCACAGAACTGCACTCACGCTATGCTGCAGCAAGTCTTGTCGGGCAAGTGACCCATGACAGTATGACTTCACGTACAACGTTATGTACAGTTATGAGTACACTTACATGCGGCCCTACAAGATTTGGTTCGTTACAAACGAGAACTGTTCGCTTCAAAGGGTCGATTGTGTATGGGTTCGAACAGGGATATGGACAAGTGTTCGCTATATCACGAAATTCGCTATATTCGAGTTCGTTATAAATTTAGTCGACTGTACTTGATTGTTTCATTCAATCCGCATTGATAATTGTTGCGCATTATGGCAATTGCACGTTTGATACGGAGGCGTCTTGTCATGCAGTTGAATTGCTTTCATACACCGACTTTGCAGTCCTTATTCTGTATTCCTCACAGTTATACACCACTACTCAAAAACGGTCTCTTGGCTACAAATTCTTCCAAAAATAATAAAATCCTTTATTCCGTATTTTCAACAATATAAGCTGCACTGGAGTATAAGCCGTACCCGGATTTTTTGTTCCGAAGTACATTGTACAGTCAGACCTCGTTTATCCGGATCCCTCGCCATCCGGCAGAAAATCGTTGGTTGCCAATTTACAGCATTTGCCATGCATATATGCAGTATGTGTGTTCGATTATCCGGTTCCCTCGCCTATCCGGATTGTTTTTCTAGAAAACGGATGTGTGCGGTTATGCGAGGTCTGACTGTATCTACCCGGTTTATCCCCGTTAAATTGATCAATGTAGCATAAAAGCCGCACCGACTTATTTACCAGCATAAAAACCGAGGTTCCAACTCAAGCTCATCTAACAATCTATTTATATCTAATCTTCTGTCCCCGATGGTTGGTTACAAAACAATGGTCGTGACTCCAACTTTCCAAGAGGACACCCTCAGGTAACAGTGTTTTTGCCCTGTGAGGGTATTCAGCTTTTATACCGTAAAGTCGTGCAGAAAGGCCGCGGCTTATAATTATGACTTTTTGGGGGGAAATTTGCAGGCTTCTATATGAGACAGGCTTCTACACAAGACAGTATGTATGTCTATGTATGTCAACACTAAAACCAGGCTTATGTGCCGACAGTGTATCTTGAAAATCAGGCTTCTATATGAGACAGGCTTCTATATAAGACAGGATTCCATATGAGACAGGCTTCTATATGAGACAGGCTTCTATATGAGACAGGCTTCTATGTGAGACAGGATTCTATATGAGACGGGCAAAACAATGTTATAATGACCACCTGTTTGTTTTGTTTTAGTTTACTTCACCAGAAGCACGGGCAGAATCTGCCTTCTCACTGGGCGTATTGCCACAGTTCTCACAAAATGATGAAGGTAACCTAGGTGGTTATTATAACATCTAATAACCACTAAGCTTGTGATCAGAAATTAGTGGGGGTTAAAATAAAATATTCACTGGTTTCAGGGAAAGACGCAAACGGGAAAAGTCTGAAGAATAAAATGACTGTCATCGCCAGGACTGAAACCAGGACCCTCGCTTGTAGCCAGTGATTCTCTAAGCACTGAGTTAAAATAAAGTGTTGATATACATACCAATACAGAATACAACATCGCACTGGTTCTGACACCCTGTGTAGCCTAGACGACCTGGGAGCCATAGGTGTAAATCGACTGTATGGTAGGGTAATACTAAATAATATGTACTAGTGTGACTGTATGCATGTGTCCAACCTGTAGGAAGGCGTCCTTCTTGCCAAAGCATTTGGAAGTTGCACTAGTTTCGGCTCCACAATCTAGTGTGTCGTTACTATTAGTGGCTTTCTTGGCTGAGGTTGTTGGTATGCCTGTTGGCTCTGGGTTCCCAATACTCAGTAGCCGAGGCTGGTTGTTAAAGTAACTCCAATATCACTTCAAGGTACCAGTGCATCTAGTGTCTGCTTCTATCAAAGCAGCGTGCTGTCTATTGGTGTGTGTGTGTGTGTGTGTGTGTGTGTGTGTGTGTGTGTGTGTGTGCGCGCGCGCGCGCATGTGTGTGTGTGTGTGTGTGTGTGTGTGTGTGTGTGTGCGTGTGTGTGTGTGTGTGCGTGTGTGTGCTTTTCTATATTGATCCACACCTGGACAGCATACAGAACAATGGCATCAACTGCACCAGCACCAGCATGGCATCACGCAACCATGCCAGACCTGCAGGTCTACGCGCCGCAAGTCGCCGGCATTCTGTGCGTACTGGCCGCGTTCGACCTCCTGGTCGCGCGGCACACGAAGGCGCGCTACTTCGCCATCCACGTGCTAGCGAACAGCATAGTCACGATTAGCGTGCTACCTGGCTGCTTCAAGCTCTTGTCAAACCCGGCTGTAGGCCTGCGGCTGGACGAGTTCAGCTCCATGGGCATATCGGCCAATCTCTGCATCCATGTGTATCACATGGCGGCGTTCCGAGACCTGACCTGGCTTGATTGGCTGCATCACATCACTATGACCAGTAAGTGGCCGACGTAAAAATAAAAACAGTATAGTTCGGGTTTTTAAAGAATGAAATCATCGTGTCCGTTCCCGAAGGGAACTCACGACGGCCGCTAACACCCGGTAAACCCTAGCGGCAGATGCAGCGCCTAATGGTGGAGGTGAGTGGATTAGTCTCACAACCACTGGCACAAGTGCTAAGAAACCCCATTAGCTGCATCCATGTCCCCCTTGTGCCTGGCCACAAGTTCCCAGTTGACTGTGGGTTGCAGCACGGCTGGAAAACCGCTCCCAATAGTTCATTGGTTTGAGGGAAAGATGCAGATGTGAAAAGCCTGAATGAAATTTTTGGCTGTCACCATGAAGACTAGTGAATCTCGACCACTATTTCAATAGTGAAAAGAGCTAGAAATTCTATTTCAATCGCAACTAAGATGTTGCAACGTTGGCGGTAATATGTGAAGAAGGTGGCTGCATTGAACCGCACAGGTCAAGCGCGACCACCTGTCCTAGAAGACCACTGAAACCAGCAACAAGGGATGCTTTTTCCAGTCAATTGACCCTGGATAAGGAGACCACCTGGTCCCTTGGAGTGGTAGTCTTAGACAGGTTTCACCGTTTTTCCATCGGTAATTTAATCTCTCGACTTCCAATTGGACGCTGTCCCTGGCAGGTCTAGTGTGTGAATTGTGCATGCGCTGTTCAAGTCTGGCCGATTAATGGAACTCTGCTGAAGTGCAATACCCTGTTTACCACTGTGTTAGCATCCAACCGCCTTACAGCAGATTTTGAATCACAGATCCAAGCCTGTGTGTGTATGTACATGTATGTGTGTGTGTGTGTGTGTGTGTGTGTGTGTGTGTGTGTGTGTGTGTGTGTGTGTGTGTGTGTGTGTGCGTGCGTGCGTGTATGTACATGTGTGCGTATGTGTGCGTGCATGTGTACGTGTGTGCATGTGTGTATCCTATTCCCACCACATGTTTTTCTCCTAGTAATCCTGATGCCCATCACTTTCGCGCACGACGCCTGGTTCGGCCTGACCTGCGACCTACAGAACTTCTTCTCCTGTGGCCTGCCGGGTGGTGCTGACTACGCTATGCTGCTGGCTGTCAAGCAGGGCTGGATGGAGCCGCTGACAGAGAAGCGCATAAACTCGCAGATCAACGTGTGGCTCAGAGCGCCGGGGATCGTCTTCACGTGTGGGTTGGGGTTCACCCAGGGTAAGCGAGAGAGAATGAAATGGCCGCAGGAGGTGCATGTTTGCGGCGCAAGGTGCATTTTATAAAAAAATAGTGCCAGGGATTATCTTGACTAGTGCGCTGGCGTATGCCCAGGGTACGTGATAGTGAATGAGATGGCAGGAGGAGATGCATTTTTAATACTTTAGAACACAGCCCTGCTGAGTGACATGTGGAGCCGGACAAACTTAAAAAAAACTGCTGTCTCACACTTGTACACTTGTATCCATTTGAAAACCTCGATGAAATCATTCGCGTAACCTCTATACTTTACCATTCTCTGTTTTCTTTTCTTCTGAATTCCCCAGCTTTCCTCAAGGATCCGCATTTGCACTTCCTCTCACCCGCGTTCTTCTTCAGCGGATTAACGCTGGGCCTGTTCATCTGGAACGCGCAGTACTTCTCAGAGCGCGTCGTCGGAAACTACTACGTGCGCCAGTACCAGGCGGACGAGAAAAGAAAACCGGCGCGAAACGGCAAGAACAATTAGCTCCGGAGTATGCTTGTATAGCAGCTCTGAGTGGTGTCCAGTGCTGCTCTTTGAAAATCGATTGTGCGAATCAAGCTTGTGCCTGTGCCAGTTTACATCCCAGTGTTTGCAGGTATAGGGCTGCACAGCGCTGCCCGGCGTGCCGTTCACTCTCTTGATTGGATTTCATGAACTCTGGGCAGCACTCTACTATTTAGAAAAAGAATGGCTTACCATAGATCTTTCCAATGAGATTGGGATTTTACACGCGTGTTTAGATTCTGCGGCCATGTCATTAGCACTGACTGGTGTTCTGAACTGAGGTATTTACTTCTGCTGATAGTCAAATGTTGCGTATGTGTGCGTGTGTGTGTATGTGTGTGTATGTGTGTGTGCGTGTGCAAATGTCACTTTCGTACTGAGTTGTGTTACCATCCTTTACTTGCAGGCCAGGTGTGGCAATAGGAAAGATTGCACAGTGTGTGTTTAGCCCGTTGAGCAGCTAGGGGTTTTCCCCGTTGAGCAGCAAGGGGTTTTCCCCAGTTTACTTTATTTACTGTTTTTATCTTTTGCCAAGTGCATTTGCGCCTTGATCCAAGAGAGTGCTGGCGTTCCCACGGCGGATGCGGAAAACTCGACCTTTGGCCGAGTCTCACGCGAACCGTGAATTTGTTTGCCAAGTTGTTAGATGTGTGTGCGTGTGTGTCTGTGTGCGTGTGTGTGTGTGCACGCATGTGTGTGTGTGATGGTGTGGGTGATGTGTTGGCTTAGTACTGTGACCGGGTAGTTGTAGCAACCAGGAAGACGACACGCAGGCAATTGGAGCATGAAACGATGTGGCAGTCAACCCGGGGTTTCCAGTCATGGTCTCCCCAAACCTTGGGGGGGGGGGGGGGGGTCGTTTAATGCACACTGATAACAATTATGCCTTCTTTATGGTATGTGGACTGAGTGAGGTTTATGGTCAGAAGGGCAAGGCCGCGATCCCGAGTTGCAAAACCACGAACCGCGTAGAGCTTGCAAACCTTGGGGTCAAAACGCACATCGTTTTGGGTACTTTGATCGTGCGCTGTCTCCCTTCTGATCACAAACGCAATGTACTCAGCCCGCAGCAACCGGGATGTGAAGCCCTTGCACATACCCACACAGGGCTTGACATGATAGCCATTATACGCCGGCCCCGGCCCCCCCCCCCCCCCCCCCACACACACACACACCAGTCCTGAAAACCTACACTACAGCAAACCATTACGATCTGTCGGATGACCTCCACAAAAGCGGAATCAGTTATCAACTCCAACAATATCTAACGCATATAAAAGCTGTGATAATTCTTTCCACAGGCACAAATAAACAGTTCAATTTGAAGATAGACAATAATCAAAGTAAATGCGTGTAAATCATCATAAAGTCTAAACTCAGTTCGGCAAAAAAGGACAAAGTGCGCAGGGAACGAACAAGTGCTGTACCACTAGAATCGCTGCACGGTAACACACTAGGCAATGCACACGGGTCGCAGGTGCATACACTGCTCCGGACCTGCTTGCACGAAGAGACTCGGTGACGCTTGCGGTCCGACTTGGGTGAAACGACTTAACCAGAGCTGTGCCATTGTACCATGCATCTGTCAGTTTTAAGGTCTTTGTCCATTTGTTTACTTTAAGTGCATTGTATAACATTATGGTAGTGAACACAGAACGTGAGCATAATCATATCAACTAGATCTATCTAGCTGCAGCATGGTGTTGCAACAGCTAAACACATGACATCATAAATCACAAAAAGACTACCAGAACCCCAGTCTATTACCTGGAAACCGGAAGTCATGACATCATTATGTCAAGCATGGACCACTGAAGGATGATGTCATGCATTGAGAGCGATGACGATACAATAATGCATGTCTTTGCGTGACATCGTGTACAGGTTTAAGACGGACATAGATACTGTGAGGATTGCATCATCGAGACACCCGGACACACGCACACGCACGCACGCACACACACACACACACACACACACACACACACACACACACACACACACACATGCACACACAAATACGCACTATTCAATAGCAGGTTGACATGAACTGTTCGTAGTCTATCTTGGCATTCTGTAGCGATCCCTTGCCCGTATCAAAGGCATCTTGTAGCCGGAAAAACTGGTTTGAAGACAGCTCCACACCAAAGCTCTTCAGGAGTGTACGGAACTCGTTTGTTGGAACAGCTCCTGTGCGTCGTGGATCAATGCGCTGCAGAGAGGAGACAAACGTGAGGGTACAGGTCAAAGCAATGAATGCTGACACGTTGTATACTTGCCACGTGTTTTTACACAGCTTGCATGCCTTATCTAACAGCTATACGCATGTATCGCACATGCATGCGAATATAATTTATGTATGTATGTGTGTGTGTGTGTGTGTGTGTGTGTGTGTGTGTGTGTGTGTGTGTGTGTGTGTGTGTGTGTGTGTGTGTGTGTGTGTGTGTGCCGGAGGATGCACCCAGTGTGCTGACAGTGCTCAACACCGCGGAGGCAGAGCGTCATACACAGACCAACAAGGACAATCAAGGCGTGTTAGTCGCTACTCTGAGTTTCATGCTTTTTCAATCAGGCAACAGTTGCCTGATGATTGCGAAAGCATGAAACTTTAAGTAGCGACTAACAAGCCTTGATTGCCCTTGTCGTTCTGTGTATATGTCTGCACACATACAGACACATATACACACACGTACACACACATGCACACACACACGCACACAAACACACATACACACCCACACACATATATACACACACAACCATGCAAACACTAACAAAACATACCCGAAAAGCTCTCTGCATCTCCTTGATCTTGCTGTGCGTTTTGCTGCGAATGTTGTCGAGTATTTCCCGTAGCTTGTCTCCGCCTCCACTTTGCAGACCTCTCCCCGGGGATTCCTGCGTATGTCGCGAAAATAAAGCCACGGAAGACGAAGAGATTAGACAAGTATGCAGAGCCAAGGATTATCGTTAGTAGTGTTGCACAAAGAACGGATAACATTAACCTTTGGTCGTCTCCGTTTACGATGAAGAGAAATTGGCATACCAGAGTCAGGGGATCGCAGGATAGAAGAACCGTATACACACACACCACACACACACACACACACACACACACACACACGGAGAGCCGAAAAGACAAGCGCGGTACTCCGTCGAAGGTCTGCAGCGCCAGCATTTCGCTGTATTCGTATACACCTCGGGCACCAATTGTTTCACCGCTTGATGTTTCCCACTGTATCTGGGTCCCTCGAGCGGCAGCGCTGGCAAAAGTCCATACACAATGGGTCCCGATGATTTCAGGGTTGGATTTCAGTTGCAGCGGTGTGCAGTCGCTCTGTTCACGGGGTTGGATTTTACATGTACAGATGTGCAGAAGGTCTATTCGCGGTGTTGGATTTCACTCCACTACATGTGCAGCATCTCTATGTCCGGGGGTCTGATTTCACTTTCACAGATGTGCAGAAGGTCTCTTCACGGGGTTGGATTTCACTTCACGAGATGTGCAACATGTCTATGTCCGGGGGTCTGATTTCACTTTCACAGATGTGCTGAAGGTCTATTAACGGGGTTGGATTTCAAATGTCAATACAGTGTGGTACGGACCTGTATCATGGGTAGTTTGAGCCGCTCCGAGTCCTGCAGAGAGCGTTCCCTCCCTGCCGCTGCCGCAGCAGCTGCACCTCCAGCCAGCTTGTTGGGTCTGGGCGATCGCTCTTTGCCAGCCAGACTGGCCACAGCAGGCAGGCGTAGCTTGTCGTCGGATGCTGGCCTGCTGTGACGACCCCCGCTGGCGTTGGGATCGTAGCTGGTGAGCTTGTTAGCAGTCTACAGGCAGAGCACAGTGAATGAATCCGTGTGATAGTGTCGCATCATAAAACAATAACGACGCCATCTTCAGACCTAGTGTCCATTTGACTGCATACAATTGCAACTCGCGAACAACAACACTATCCCATGCATGCTCCAGGGCCGGCATTATTTCGCAAGGTTTTCTGCCCGTGCATTTCCCACACATTCCATGTTTGGCAGTGTGCAATGCTTAGAGGGAAGATGCTGACTACACTGGAATTTCACAGCATTCATAAATGCATAATGCCCTGGAGGATCTCTGCTGCACTGCTGCTGCTGCTGCTGCTCCTGCTGCTGCTGCTGCTGCTACTGCTGCTGCTGCTGCTGCTGCTGCTGCTGCTGTACACATTTAATGAAGAATCCCTTTTATTACTATAATCTACAAAAAAATAAAAAAGGACCTAGGAGCTACAAGTTACTCTATAATATCCACTAACACCACCAGTTACTAAACAATCAGCTCATGCGATAACATAGTTCCTTGGTCCTTTTTCTTTTTCCATAAAATAATCCTTGGCTCTCCATCCGAGTCCATTATTACTATAATCCCATTTTTTTTATCCACGATTGCCATGCCACAAACAATGTTATAGCCTCGACCCGGGGGCCATTATCCGGTATGATTGGTTTACCGAGGGACATTGCTCACCTCGACACATACGGGCACGTCGAAGTAGTCCAGAAAGTGATTGTAGCTGACTTTGCCACGGTGACTTGATAACGTCTTCTCCACAAGCGACTAAACACAGGTACACACACACACACACACACACACACTTTCAAAACGTGGTCTCTGTAACCAGGTGGTCTCCTTATCCAGTGTCATTTGACTGCAAATAGCATCCCATGCCATGGTCCTGGCTGCAATGGTCTTCTGCCACTGGGACAGGTGGTCGTCTTATCCGAGTGATCGCCTTGACAGGTTTTACTCTACTGACCTGTTGGTAGATTTGAAGACATAAAAGCTTAGCAAAGGACACACACTATCGTGACAGTAGTTTGTGGGTTAGGAGAAAGTAGGTCCGATGGTTTAGTAGTTCACTGTCTTACCTGTAGCTGCCGTGTTGTAAGTTTAACACCACAATGCGCTGTCAGGGCGCTCTTCAACAGGCGTATCTCGATAAGACCACACTGCTCCTTGTCCGCTCTCAGCAATTGCTGTATACGTGCACGATCACGCACACATGTGTGCGTACCCATACAAACACACATGCACGCACACGCACACACACACACATGCACGCACACGCACACACACACACACACACACACACGCACACACACACACACACACACACACACACACACACACGTGCACACACGCACACACACACACACACACACACACACACACACACAGAGCAGGGAAAGAGGAAATTAGTCATGACTCGGAGTTTCATGCTCATCACTTCGGCTACCTGCTCCCGGTCAGACCCGAAAATAACACTTTGGATCATATTTCATCTAGCCCAATTGCAATTGCACATTGCCTTAACTATACATTGGACCGTGGGACTAGCTGCTACACTGTGCTTCTTCAGTATCTTGCTTGCGATCGCTCTTGAAGAGCTCGCCCTAGGAAATATGAAGCACTGGATGCGTTGCTATTCACAACATTGACTGGACTTTTGCAGAGCGCTGGATTGGCTTGTTACATAGGGTAGGCAGGGGCGGATCCAGAGATCTCTGCGGGGTAGCGGGTTCCAGTTTAGCAAAAACTGAATAGCTGATACATGTACATGCATATGGTTCCAGTAGTAAATTTGAGAAATTTAGAGGGTTTGGCAGAACCCTGCGACACCCCCCCCCCCCTCCCCCGGATCCGCCCTAGGGATGGCTTGTTGCAGAGGATGGAGATAGCTTGTTGTTACAAAGCGGTGCATTACCTCTCGGAGTCGCTGTTGTTGACCGATGACCTGTTGGCGTACGATCGGCAGGAACTCGTGAAGCGGCATGCCATCGTGTACTATGCTGGTCTGCTGGTGTGGCTTGGACGTGGGAGTGGGGGCTGCTGGCCTGCATAGTGATGCAAAGAAAACAAAATTCATCAAAAGAGCACATGAAGTTTGACGATTGCTCAATACTCTACAACTATACACCTTCGTCAGGAAGAATGGTATTTACGCCTTGTTCGAAGAGCAATTTTGTGCCAGACTTTCTGAAACTTGGCCGAAGGCTCGGTATTTTCCCGTCAGCTTTTATGATCCCAAATTGTTTTTTTGAAATATGAAAAAGAACTACTGCACAGCCATTCTAAAAGGGTTTGCCGAAAATATTGTGGAAAGTGTAAAGTGTTTTAGTGGTCCACTTTCGCAACACTTGAAAAACACAAACATACACACACAAGCGTGCGTACGCGCACGCACACGTCCCTCGGTTGTGAGCATGGTGGCTCGACAATGGCAGTATGGCCACAAATGTCCAAGCTGCACGCACACAGAGACACCAGCTTTTCAACTTCCTTAGGCTGTTGGAAAGCATAATACTTCTTTGATGTTCATGGACAACTCTAGTGTTGTTGTATTCAGAATGGACGGTACCTTTTCAGGATGCTCTGCATGGACGGTCCACGCGATCGAGACGTCGACGCATCTCCCATGAACCGTCTCACCTCGTCGTCCTCGGCAGCCAGGTCTCCAGGGCGAGCTCTTCCTCCGCCCAGTGTCTGGGTGTCGGAGAACGCGTTCATGAAGTCGCGGTACGGGATCATGTCCAGACTGGCCAGGCCGATGCTGTCAAAGAGCATCAAACAATACGAGTATAGTACAGCCGACTAAGAATACGTTGTGTGCGAAGTATGCATGTGCTATGGGGCCGTATTTCCCGATTATAAGTCGCACCCCCATTTTCAGGTTTGAGCCATAATGTTTGATATATTCACTTCAGTAGTACGTCATGCTTGATTGTAAGTCACATCCCTTTTTTCACCATTGAATTTTAGTGTAAAAAGGTGCGACTTTTATTCGGGGAAATACGGTAGCCCTTGGTGGCATCAAGTGCTGTGGAAAGGGGTCGAAATTGGCTGGAGAGTGAAGTTGTGGTGTGGTAGTTGATGGAAAATAGTTGGCGGCATCGGCATGTCAATTCTGTACCTGCTTACCAATCAGTCCTGAGGGAATGACCGTGTGTGTGTGTGTGTGCGTATGTGTGTGTGTGGGGGGGGGGGGGGGGTGTGGCAAGATTAACTCTTGTGTGAAGCTAGTGAAGCTTTTATCAGATCCACTCTGATTTAGCCACCCACACTAGTACCAAGTATTACCTTCACTGGGGGCAGGGGTACCTGCAGTTGGATCCCGGGATGGATACCCTGATGCCGTCAATCCTTTTTCTGCACCTTGTCCTCACCCACTTACTGAGGTGTGGTGAGCCCATAAGTGGGATCAATTCAAGTCCACCCTAGTTTGGGGATTTCAGGGGGTGTCGGCCGTTGGGTGGTTCAATGGCCAATTGAGTCATCTTTCCAAGATTCCTTTCGAGTCTCTCTCCCCTCTCCCGGGGAGACCCACGTGACCAGTTTTGGCAGTGAGCAAGTACAAGTACAAGTACAAGTGTGTGTGTGTGTGTGTGTGTGTGTGTGTGTGTGTATGTGTGTGTGTGTGTGTGTGTGTGTGTGTGTGTGCGTGCGTACATGTGTGTGTGCGCGCGCGAGAGAGAGAGAGAGAGAGAGAGAGAGAAAGAGAGGAGGAGGGTACTTACAGTTCTAGAACTCTCTCCAACTTCTCGCTGTCGATGTCAAAGCCACGCTGATCCAGGATGGTGAGTAGCTCTTCGCGAGACAGAACAGCATCCTGCGTGAAACACACACGTGTGTACATGTGTGCCCATGTGTGTACATGTGTGTATGCGTGTGTACATGTGTATGCGTGTATACATGTGTGTATGCGTGTGTGCATGCAGAATGTGTGTACATGTGTGTACATGTGTGCCCATGTGTGTACATGTGTGTATACGTGTGTGCGCGCAGAATGTGCGTATAGGTATAATGTGAGCGAGTGATAACAATGTTGACATAAATTGACAGAAAGAGAGGAAATGAACTACTAACTAGGAACAAATGTCCCAATATGTACATAATACACTTTGCCATAAATATACGGTATGACGTCACTGAATGTCGACCATGACGTCATTTAAGCATACTATCCTACATGACATCACTACACATGGTGAAATGACATCACAATGATCCGATACCCAATGACGACAAGCGGGCATTTCAACTTCTGAGCGTACATACAGAATCTGGTCCTGAGATTAGCCCCAGCCGCAGAGCTTCCAACATGTGCATATGTGCATGTGTGTGTGTGTGTGTGAGTGTGTGTGTGTGTGTGTGTATGTGCACGCGCGTATGTACTTCGCTGCATTAGATCATGCTATATTCTTATTCCCAGTGTCAATAATATGGTCTGCTCCCAAGCTTTTGTGTGTTTAAAAGTCGGCGGGGCCCGGTTCCTTCTGTTTCTTACCTCATTCGTATCAGCACCTTTAGCAATCTGGTGCAGAGTGCGTCGTTCCTGCTCCATCTTCCATCTGCAATGGTGAGATTTTTACATTCAGAGGAAGACAGAAAAGGATCAAATACCATTGAGCACATTGACACATCTCCCGAAAACAGGTGAATTAAAAAAAAAAACACATTAAAAAGCTTGTTGGCAGGCGCATCCGTGTTGGCACAGTGTATCGTGTGTAAACTGGTTCATATAATTATGCATTTCCTCAACCGCCACTGTTCACGGTAAATGCATTCGCATGCACGCAATCCTAAAAATGCATGACACAACGTTGTGTCTAGTGCATCCATCACACTTGCTTCACGTGATCACCAATACCTGCTCAGTATGCCTGTCAGGGGGGCTGAATTTCTCGGTTGAAAATATGCACGACGCAACGTTGTGACCCAGTGTAACCTTCGCACTTACTTAACCTGATCGCCAATGTCAGCGGCTGGCATGCGCTGTGCGGCTTGCCGATGCTGCTCCGATATGTTGGCCATCTTTTCCTGAACAAAGCACAGGAGGAATACAGTAAACCGGTCGTGAACATGCAGCAACTCAGAGAACGCCCGCATAGCCTGCATCTTGTTGTGGGTTGGCAAGTGACTTTTAATATTAGTTGATTGTCACGGCACAATCTTTTATTTTTTTTATCGGTTCTTATACTGGATTTTGGTAATAACATTTTATTCCGCTTGGACATTTTGCATCACAAATTTGTTGTTTTCCCGAATAAAGCTTTGAGTGACTCAGGGAACGTTGCCAACACCAATTAATTCGCAGGACATGATATTGAGGTGCATCTAGTCTTGCGGCAAAACTGTCAGACGGGTAGTGTTAGCAGTGGCCGTGGCATGACTCGTGAGTCAAGGTGTGGTGACTGAGTAGGACGTAAGGCGAAATAGCACGTCATAGTACATTCGAGATCAGCGGGAAGAAGATGACGACGTCCACTAATTTAGTATCTGTGCACACGAATCTGCTGTGTGTGTGTGACTCTGTGTGTCAGCTATGATATCATCTTCTGTGGTTCCATGCCTAGTATGTACGTCTGAACCATCCTGCAACGTTTGAATGACGTAGGTTGAGCGATCGCTCCGCGAAACATACTTTTTGAAATTCTCTTCATAGTATATCTTCCACCATTGAAATTTCGAATTTCTTCAAAAAAAGTGCTGAGGGGGGTGGCTTGCAACCTCGATATGGCTTGTTCCAGGCATGCTTTGGAGCCATCTTCTGTTGAAGTAGTGGCGGGGATCTGCCCTGCAACTGCTACAACAAAAAATGATTCGATCTGAGAAAGGGTGAGACCGCGAATCTCGGTTGAATATTGAGTATTTCAAGCCTTTTCACGACGAAGATGGAGTTCTTTTTGGAGATGGACGTCGCGGCAAAGGACATGGTGTCCGACTTCTGGCGTCTGGTGAAGCCAGGGATCATTTGTCCAGTCAGGTCGGCAGCCTAACCGTCGGTAAGCTTGTGTTTGGATCCCGTTCTGCTCGATGTGGTAGATCACAAACAATTTGATATCGCACAAATTGATCTCAGCATCGTGCGTACGGTATTTTATATTCAGAAAATCCCAAAGTGTCTCTGTGTGGCCGTCCTATACCACGAGAAACTCCAATCAGGCTCCTATGTCCTCTGCCTTCATGATTGAATGTCCACTTCGTTTGAACAACGAACACAACAATCGAGGACGGCTTTGCAATGAAAAATACAGCTATACTGGAGCTGAAAAAAGAAAGAAAAAAACGTGCTCAGGATAAGACTCGAGTGCACGCATACTCTCCCAGCAGGTGAAACGCAAATTTTTGTGAAAAATGCGTGTCGCCGACTGACCAGTAATTTCGCCTGACGGTCGGTGCTGATGGTAGTGGTGGGGACAAGAGGTACTTCTGAACTGTTACCCAACCCCTCAAGGGCGTCGGACACGGTACGGTCACTACGGTATTGACTATACCAATTTTGCCCCAGGTACCCCGTGAATCAATAAAATACACTGATCTGGGTTCTAATATTCCAAACTTTTCGGCTCAGCCACCACTCCCAGACGAGAAAATTGTACTTCAGATGGCTGACCGTACCACACTAAAAATACCTTCCGACACCCCTGCCCCTGTCCTACCCCGCTCTGCCCCACCCTGCCCACGCTATGATGTCAATGCTATGATGCGGAAACAATAACCCACAACTGAGCAACCAAACCTTACCCGCTGCTCATCGCGATGTCGTTGTTCTTCCAGCTCACTCTCCTCCGTTATCATCAGACTTGCTCCGGTATCTGTACTGGTCACCTCCATTCCAACAGAGCCAAAGAACTCATCTACCTGAAGACTGCCATCGTTATTGCTGTCAAACCTGTTGGGAGAAGGAACGGAAAACGAGAATTTGCTCCGAATGCAAGCACCCAGGAATTTATCACTGTATGGGTATGTATACAATACATACACATGCACACGCACACGCACACGCACACACACACACACACACACACACACACACACACACACACACACACACTCACACACACACTCACACACACACACAAGCTCAAACACACATCCCATCACTTCAAAGCATTGCACAACAACCAACAGCCAATAACCAGTTGATCGGCCTTACATTCTCCAGAGTTTCTCAAATTCAACGTTTGTCATGGGAATGTTGAAGCGATCTAGCAGCTTCTTCAGACCAGGCCTCTTCACCAGCCGAGAGCCATCCTGATCCACCGCCTTATACGCCTGCAATGTAACCATGACAACAGAAAGCAAGGCCAAATGAGCACAGACTCGCGGTTACCTAGCAAACGGTAGTCTGGGCAAGTGCAAGGGCATTCTACTCTTCACTCACCAGGCCAGCCGGAGTCAGTCCAGTTGGTCAGGGCATCACCGGACCAACTTGTTGGCAACGAACGCAATCATATTACGGAGGATTAGCAAGACGAAATTCGCGTTCGTGTTCGCGAACATTTTTCGGTTCACGAACTGGATTGTGAACTTTCGCAATTTTCGTTCGGAAAAGTAGTCGAAACGCGAATCGCGGATTCGTGTCAGGGCAGTCATAAATTTACCACGCTGTACTGTCTGTACACAATGAACAGTCCTGGAGATGTCCTAGATAAGACATCACGGAACCCAGCATGCCCCAGCATACATACTATGCTGTTCCCATAGTAATCGTGACACGTGACTCAAAACTTTGTGTCACGGCCGAGAAAGATGAACATGTCGCACTCAAAACAAGCGCAACGAAGGCCTTTCGTCTCAAAAGCAATTAGTTGTCGTTCTCCTGGCGGCTTGCCTCAAGCGAGTCGAGATTCGTATCTTGCCTCTTGCCTTCACGAATTTTATTTTCCTTGTTGTGGAGTACGCCTGGACAAAGGAACTGGCAAGCGAATCGTTTTGGTCGCATTGAAAATTGCAAGTGCACAAGAGGATTGGCGAAGCAATTTGTGTCCGCACTTTCAGCAGAGCAGTAGCTGCTGCTGCGATAAAGTTTTTACTTTCGCCATTGGTTTCAGGCAGCAGAAGGATCTGGCTGAAAGCGATGGCGATACGTCCATGACCACCACGTCCTGGGTTGATATCCAAGAAAGACCGTCCAAGGTCCAGTTTTAGCCAAGAGCTGTCGTATCCAAGAAATCAAAAACGCCAACAGCAAGCTTTGGCCAAATAATATCTTCCAGGTAGTGATTTACGCGCCTAGCGCCTGCTGCCTCGTCTTCCTCCTCTGCATGGCCAGGTTTGGGGCGAAATGAACGCACGGGGCGTGAAGAAACATTCCAAAGGCAAAACATTCAAATAATTAGAACCAATCGTTTCCGAAGAAGCGCTGCGTGGCTACGAGAAACCCCACATGAAATCCCCAAACGAAAACGGCCATTCGGACGGGTGTTCGATGGCGAATCGAATATACACTACCTCAATCCCCGCCGATGTCTGATATTCTCCGCCTATTCCTTCAAACTTGACCAATTCGGAAAGAAATCCATCGCCATTACGATCGTGCATCCTCCACATACATTCAGAAATGCTCACGCAGCACTTCTTTTCATCGCGTGTGCGCGACCGACGCTTCCATGACAACTCTGGGACGGGTAACCAATCAGACTCATTCAGAGTGCGATGTCCTAGATAGGACATCTCCCCGACTGATGAATGTCGTGTCAAAGTCATGCATGTGCGAATTCTGTTTGCTAATCCTTCTCATAACGCGAATTCCGTCACTGAGTTCGACTTTCCTTGGAGTGCGAACACGAACGCGAATTTCGTCTCGCTAATCATCCGTATTGACTGCTCAGGAGGTTAGGTGTACCTGCTATCGTACACAAACTGTAGGAAACATTATGGTGCGCATTAAAAGAACTCAGATGGTGAGCCGAGGGAAAAATTGTAACATGGAAAAATGTGGGCACAAGTTATGCGACTGTCTGACTGTTCAAAATCTGGTTTAGTTTGTGGACTCGATCTCATAACTTGTGCCCACATGTTTCCATGTTACAATTATGGTATGATCGGACCAATCTAAAACTGCTTGCGGCCGTACTGATCCCCGAGTGGCTAGTAGGTAGTCACCACTAGTGTCTAACCAAAGACCATCGTCATCCTCACCCACGGGCAACACGCACCCGCCCAAGCACGGTTGGCGTGCCCGTGGTCCACTTGCTCGACCTGAACACATACTGTATTTTCCGGAGTATAAGCCGCACTGGAGTATGAGCCGCGCCCAGATTTTTTGTTACGAAGTACAGACATCTACCCGATTGATCACAGTTGATTTGACCATTGTACTACTATGCCGGCAACTGAAATCCGACCCCTGAGCGGTGCGCTCACGTCGCAAACACCCAACACAGGATTGTAACACTACGAAATACAGACTGCTAGAATGTAAACGCAGCGCTCAGGGGTCGGATTTCAGTTGCCAGTGCTGTACTACAATGGTCAAATCAACAGTGATTAAATAGGGTAGATATCTGTGTTGCGTGATGAAAAAATCTAACAAAACTTTGTTTTGGGTGATTTACGGGTGTTTACATTGCGGCTTAAACTCCGAAACTGAATACCGTACACCAACGCTAGCAAGCACACAACCTAGCGTCCCGACCTCGTGCACGGTCTTGAAGGCGTCGGCTATCTTGTAGGGCAGTTCCTTGCACGCCTGCTCAGCTGTCATCTTGCTCGGCTCCAAGGCTGTGTTGTACCTAGGGGTTGGGGGTCGGGGGGGGGGGGGGGGGGGTCAGAGAAGGAACGACATGTGAAAAACAGCAGAATTCAGTGGCAATTTGGCAAACCAAAGTGGACAACTGAGCCAAAGAAAAAGCAGAGCGGTTTTCGGCTTAGAGGTTTGAACTTCTCACCTTCCCTCAAATTCTTTAGAACCAATTTTCAAATTTTCAAACACATGAGACAAGCACTTTCGGTGGGTCATGATGAATACGTCGGCGGAAGCTTGCAAGTACCCGGTGAACCTTCAGAAAAAGTGATAATTTGTGCCCAGGTATCTCTAAGCCAAGATTAAAAATGGAATGCAAATGCCACAGGTCCATAACATCTCCGGCATACGGGGCACAACATAACGCTATGTATCCATGGAAACGCAAACACGTACAAGAAATCTCTATCTATCACATCCGACTATGACTAGCATGCGGGTTACGAGTACTGTATTTCCCCGATTCTCGCACCAAATACTTTCAGGTTCAACGAACCATACTATTTCAATATATTTACGTAAGTAGGATGTCACACTCGATTGTAAGTCGCACCCCTTTCTTTCCCCCAGAAGTGCGTTTTAAGTGTAAAAAGGTGCGGCTTTTATCCGTGGAAATATGGTACGAGCCTGCAACTGTTGTCATAGCAGCGTAGCCATGGCAAATTTCAAGAGCCAGTCACACTCTGGTCTGCATGTACATTGCCTCCTCACCTGTGTGTTGAGATGAGAAACCTGTGCGCGTCGCTTCCCTCTCGAGCGCCGAAGAACTGCAGAAAGTCCTCGTAGCGGAGCATGGCATCGTCGGCTTTCATGCCGATATGCGTGAGCAGCTTCTCCAGTTCAGCCTTGTCCAGCTTGAAGTGGAAGTTAACCAGGACCTTCTGAAACTCCTTGCGATTGATGAAGCCTAAGCGGAAGGAGAAGAAAAGAAATGCACAAACATGCTCGCACATGCATACATATTTACACGCATGCACACACGCACACAAGGATCCCCGCCTCCGGTTTTGACATCATACTGAATTCTAATTTGTCATGGTAAAAGAAGGAGGACAAAATGTTACGAGTTATGACTAACTGTCCACCAACGTAACCAGATCATTATATAGTCAGCGAGTGCGACAAAATGGGACAAAACTGACAAGGAATACTTAGACATTCGACGACCTGACACCTAGCTCCAACACTTCTCCGAGGCGGAATAATTTTAATATTTATTTTGAATGTTACTGGTACGTGCTGCTTTTGTGCTGCACTCTTCAGAGGAATTACAAGTGTAACGACAAATCGACAAGACATCGGAATTTGAATGCGAATGGCTACAATCATATCCATTTCATAACCTTTTCAGAAAGTACACGACAAACACATAATTCGACTGCAGCACATTTGCATCTTATATTGATTTCGACTAGGCTACTGGTTTCGAAGAGGCCCTAGTAGCTTAAAAAAACAGAATTTTACTGATGGTGTGTCCTCAGGAGTAAGCTTCCTTCAGCCTTTTCAACTCAATTTTCAAACATTGCTGCCAGTAGAATCGTGCAGTAAATCATTACTACACTGTTTTAAAGAACTCAGATGGTGAGCCGAGGAAAAAATTGTAACATGGAAAAATGTGGGCACAAGTTACGCGATCGAGTCCACCAACTAAACCAGATGTTGAACAGTCAGACGTGCACAATCTAGCAAGAAAACTGACAAGGAGTACTCAGACACAACACTGTATCACACACGATACTGTAAAACACGTTATTTTCGGTGTAATTTTAATTTCGGTAATTTCGGTAGAGAATTCAGGCACCTAAATTTGGATAACACCTAAATGGCACTAGAGTATTCACTGTATATGAAGGGAATGCTGGTCACTTAATTCTAACTTACACCTGAAACCTGGCAGGTCCCTGATACCGAAATTTAAATACACCTAAAATTGCGTGATACACAGTAAATGGATGTTGTTTTCGTCGCCATTAAGGTAACGACCGTGTCACACTCTAAGCACACGTGTCCCTACCGTCCAGGTTGCTGTCAAACTTGCGGAAGGCGCTGTGCATGTCGGCGAACTTCAGCTGGATCATCTCGCGCAGCCGCTCAGCTATCTCCTCTGCACGGAGTGTAACCTTGGGGCCCTGTGCCTGGCTGGTCGACGTTGCTGCTGCCGCTGGCCTTGATGGGAAAGTGAAAAAGTGGACATACACACACACATAATTATGCACCCAAAACAAACACACAATATAACATGCTCATGCAAACGGTTGTAGATCGATTTACAAGACATTTGGATGTTCACGATATTCGCAGCAAAGTAATTTTACTCTTCATATTGGAATCTGTCCTCGTGATCTTGGAGCAGAAGCGGCATAAGCCAAATCAACACTGGTTTTGAGCAGAAGAGCAACAAATACATCTTAAACACACATAATGAAGGAAAGAAAATTGCTAGTACGTCAACATCTGCAGCATTCGACTACTCACTTTCTTGGCTCGCGTCGGAAGAGCGGTGGTGTTTCGTTTGCCTTCTTGTTGGACGTGCCCGCGGGTGGTCTGGCAGACGCACGTACAGGTGGCCTTCCTTGCTGCAACGATTGCTCAGCGGCCACGAATGGATTGGCGTCGAACAGCGCCGGAATCTGCTCATAGGCAAACTGCTCTCCAGCACCAGACCTGGACAGCGGGGTTCACAAAAGAATGGAAAGATCATACTTGTAGATTGTGAATATTGGATATACAGTCAGACCTCGCTTATCCGGTCCTCTTTTATCCGGATCCATCGCCATCCGGAAGAAAATCGTTGGTTACCGATTTTCAGCATACGTACAGTATGTGCGTTCGATTATCTGGTTCCCTTGCCTATCCGGATATTTTGTGGAAAACGGATGTGTGCGGTTAAGCTAGGTCCGACTGTACACGGAGCATGACCTTCGTGGCGGAAAGCAGGGTTCTCTCTCACACCTCACATTTCCAACAGCAAAACCACAGTGCAGGGTCGGCTGCGGACAGCCACATTGCACCAAGAAAAACAAGAGAAAAAACAAGCTTCGCAAATATTCGAAGTTCGAGAGAACATCGCTTCTCGTTTCTTTCGAATTCTCTGCCAACGAGAAGCGTACACTTGCAGTGTGTATTTTCTGAGTTACGGGCAGTGCTCGGTCCCAACCTGTATGGACTGGGGGGGGGGGGGGGGGGGGGGTACTGCAGATACCAGGTGACTTTCACTGTATCCACAATTCCCACCTCACAGGATAATAGCAGGCGGTTGCAAGGTAGGGTGGTGGTGTAAGGTGAAACGGTGTAAGGTGGGATGGCTTAGGTTGCGTTTGGTTGGGCATTTTCAGAATGTAAATGACAACCATTCTGGAATGGGAATGGGTAAGAATCACCTGACCAAACAAACGTGCCAGAATCAACTAGGAATCACTTGACATGCCAATTCCATGATGTCGTTGTGGAACGGCGGCTCTCTTCTCTTTTACCCGACTCTAGTTTCCTTGAGAGAGTCAAGGTACTTCTGAGTGCATGATTCGAGGCACTTGAACCAGATGCTACATTGTTTGGCTCGTGGCAACCATTATCATTTTTGATTCCGAAATGACAATGCTCATTCCAGCATGTGAGGTGGAATGATCATTCTTCAAAAAGAATCATTCTCAGCGATTCCCATTCTGGAATGGGACCAACCTAACGCACTTTTTTGATCAACCAAACGGGCGAGAATGATTCCGAGTGATTTCGAGTGATTCCCATATCGAAATGTGACCAACCAAATGTAACCTTAGGCTGATGGCTCAGGCACAGGAGACACACGGCCGCCGGAACCGGTCCGCTTGGTCAGGTTATCACCGGACCAACAGTTTAGCCACCAACACTTGTTTGCTGCTATGGAGGACATGTGTACCCGTCATATCATACGCCACTAGCGCTATCTTTTACAGTGCTAATTGGTCAATGCTATGAGCGCCAAATATGTAGTTGGAACCACTAGCGCTAGCTTTTATAGTGCTAATTCCAATTTCACAATCACAGACAAGATCACGCTATGAGCTGCTGCAGACATGACGTTATAACGCACACTGCAGAGAACATATGTATGCCATTCACAGACAAGATCTTGCCATAAGGTGCTGCAACCATGAACTTACAGTGCACACGCCATGATCTCATCGTCTTCAACGATCTTCAAATGCTGCAGCATCTATAGCAGAAAGAAGTACATGAGAAACGCATTAGATCCTGTGTTTAGTGCTTTCAGAGAGCGTGTGTGTGTGTGGGGGGGGGGGGGGGGTAGGGTAGGGTAGGGTGTGTGTGTGTGGGAAAGGGGGGAAGGGGGGGCTTGTGAGCAGTGTGTTCAACGCCTGTGTGTGGGCCTGATTGGAGCGGGGGGGGGGGGGGGGGCACTTCTACAGCTGAAGGAGATATATCTTCGTGCTGTTCGATGAAATCTGATCATTTGAGTCAATGCAGACGTTCTGCAGCCCAGCACCTACAAGCACTGGGCTCTGCTCTTGTGTAAGGTGCAAACGTGACTCACTTGATCGAACCACAGCAATTCAGGTGCCCAACGATAGAATTATTTCTCTCCCTACTTTCCTTCCTCTCCTCCTCCATTTCATACATATCCACAGAAACACGCACACGCTCGCACACGCGTCCGGACTCACACACACATGCTCGCGCACGCGTGTACACACACACACGCACACAGGTCATACCTCTGCCAGTTGATGGGCAGACAGCTGCCCATCATGGTCTCCGTCGAATGCTTCAAACGCAGCCTTCAGATGACCACTATCTACACGCTGGCTTAGAGTACGCTGGGGGAGAAACACAACAAGGACAAGGGAGACAAAGGGTTGGGAGATTGAAAAGGGAAATGGTCTGAAGAACACAACCATCATCACCAGATGTTTTACCAATGACAAGGCATAAGGTAAGGTCTATGTTAATGTTAATGTGCACTTTCATAAAAAAATATTTAAAAAAATTAAAATAAGTAGCCCACAGTCAGTTCTGATAGCAGGGGCAAGATGTGTTAAACACCTGTTTCACAGAGCTCGGCATATATTGTAGTGAGAGTGGTGCTCGTGTTCTCCCCCGTCGCCGTGCCTCTCGCCATAGAACAGCCCGAGTCGCAAGCAACAGACTCTCTTATGATTGTCACCGAGATCGCGACCACTGATTCGTGAGCCAAATTAACCTGAGGATATCACCGTTCCTGGGATCTTTACTCGGTCATCGAGTCAACAAGAGTACACAATACTAAGGAATAACAGTGCTTTGCGGCACCAATGATACTGAATCCTAACAATCCGAATGTGACCGGTGTGTTGCCATAGCAATGCCAGCCAGGCACAGCCGGTCACATGACCTACCTTTGCTCTCTGCCATTGCTGATAGTTGACCATGGCCTGTTCACCGCTCTTCTCTGATATCGCCAGCATTCTGATAGTACACACGCACGCACGCACGCACACACACACACACACACACACACACACACACACACACACACACAAGCACACAAGCACACAAGCACACAAATACACCATTTGACCATTTGACGCCCATCGCCGGAGGCGATGATAGCAATGCTACAGCAGAAGTTATAGCAACTTGTGCTGGGATTGCACCATTCAACAGCTTGCAAGGCTGAAGAATTGACCGCCACTATTCAGCCAGGTCTACATCACACAGCTATGAAGTGGCTTTTTCTGGCCAGTGAATCCCTAATTTTTGGTCACAAATACACACGCACACACACACACACACACACACACACACACACACACACACACACACACACACACACACACACGTACTCACAAAGGTCTCTATCAACTTCTCGCCGCTACGGACAGATTTGGCTGTGCCCTACCCACTGGCGTGCCATCGCCTTTTATGATGACAAAGTGTTCAGGGAGGGTCCCGGCTAAGTAAGTAACCATATCCGATGGCTGCCTACATCACTCAAAACCCCTTCCGATATCCCTGCTTCTTCATCCCTGCTTCTTCCCCCGCCCGCGTACAGTGAGATCTGTCTAAGCCGACCAGTCAAAGGACCTTCGTAATTACACTTTAGTCCCCGTATATATTACAGGTGGTCTTCTTATCCAGGGTCGTTTTACTGGAAATAGCATCCATTGATCCTGGTTGTAGTGGTCTTCCTGGACAGGTTGACCAGTTAGACTGTATGGGAGCCCTTTTTAAAACGTGGTCTTCCAGTACTTCACTCGCCCTTTGCTTACTTCTTTCTCTGATCCTCACTATGCTTGGCTGCTTGCTGTGTGCTGGCACCGGCAATCTGTTGGCTAACTCCTTGCACATCACCGGGATTCAATTCCAGCCCCATGGCGGACAGGAACTCCGAAAACTGTATCATGCCATCCCGGTTGATGTCGCACAGTTGCCAAAGTCTGCAGTCCGGGAGAGGGAGAGGGAGGGAGGGAGGGAGGGAGGGAGAGAGAGAGAGAGAGAGAGAGAGAGAGAGAGAGAGAGAGAGAGAGAGAGAGAGAGAGGGAGAGAGAGAGAGAGAGAGAGAGAAAGCGAGAGAGAGAGAGTGTGTGTGAGATTGTGTAGTTACGTCATAACACTCACGTGGCATCACAATATGTGTGCATCAATACCACTACAACTACTTGACATATTCACCCTGAGGTATACTGAAGTCGTCTAAGTCACTTGAGATCATATTCATGGCAACATGACATCATTGATATTGTTGCTTGGCGCACACAATGCACAGAAGCATGAGACTTTCTTCTAGCATGAGACATTCGTCTTGTGCTGTCGTGTGACATCATAGTCATGGACACATGGCATCAAAGTGACAGACAATTAAAATCATAGCCACCAACACATGTCATCATAGTCAAATGTATACGACATCAGCATTACAGCGGCCTGTGCTCATCAAGTAAAGGCAGTACCTTTGAAAGTTCGCATCGGAGCTGTTCAGGTAGTTCTCCTGTAGGAACTCTCGGAGTTCTTGCGGTGAGATCGTACCATCCTTGTTGGTGTCGATCTCCAGGAACAACTCCGAGAGGGGCTTCCCCTTGGCTCGCATCTTGTCTTGAAGATTGTTCTTGAACTGGATTGACAGTGGACAGTGTCATCGGAGAAAAATTTCAGAGGCAGTTAGCAACATCTCAAGATAGAGATATATACGCCGCATAGAGTCCCCAGTAGGTGTCGCCTAACGTTATTCAGCTCACAAATAGTCCTTTGCAAGTGTGGTTTCTAGAAACGCCGGGAAATGTCTCCCCACTGTTTCCCGTGTGCTCTCAGTACAACAAAACGGATACAGCCAGACGGACAGACACACAGACAGACGGAGAGACACACAGACACACATACACACACACGCATACACACCTGTCTGAAGGTCATATCCTCGGCAGGTCTGGCGCGGTTGTAGTTGTTGACGTCGTTCAGCCATTTCTTCTTACCCTGCAGCAACAGACAACCAGATCGAACAAAACCCAAACAGCATTAATATCCGTCAAACACACTACAATGACTGTATCATGAACAGAATAGAAAACCTGCGTTCACACTATTCTGACAATGCAGGGGCAGCTGAACCGGTGCGGTTGGTCAGGCCATGACCCGACCAACCTTTTGGCCAGCAGCGTGTGTTCACTGCCGAGGAGGTCAGGTGTACACCCTCCCCATATCATACACAAAGTACGAACTCTGTGGTATGACCGGACCAATCATCACAAACTGCTTCCACCGGTCCTGCAATGGGCGACTGGCCCGAAACGTAATTTGATAAGACTCGATAACTCGTGCAAAGCTCGCTGCGTTTCTCGCAGTTACAGCACACTGACCTTGATCCGGGTTCCAAAAAACGTTGTTCACTATATGATCGGTTCATCAGGTCAGTCTGAGCTCCGCTGACGAGACCAAACAAGGTCGAAATATGATTTTTTTTAACTGCACATTTGAACCTGTTTTGAAAGACCACCTGTAGTATGAGACCGGCCCTTCCAAGACCCAGACCATGTTACACTGTGCATTTGAACCTGTTTTGAAAGATCACCTGTAGTATGAGACCGGCACTTTCCAAGATCCAGACCATGTAACACTGTGCATTTGAACCTGTTTTGAAAGACCACCTGACTTGCAAGACGTGTAGTATGCACATCATCGGGTGGTCAGAAAAGACAGGTCTTGCTGCATAATATACACACTGACCTCTCCCACAGTCGGCGCAAACTTTTCCAGGAACTCGTGATACCGCAACATTCCCTTGCCGCGCGGATCCAGGTACTCCATCAGACAACGGTATCCCGATTCTGGTAGGTGGACGTTGTATGAGCCGAGGATGCTGCGCAGCTCAAACGCTGACACTTGTCCTGTACGATCCTGCCAAGTGGTGTGAGCATACGCGAATAGTGAAACATGCACATACGTATGCACATGCGCACACACGCACATGCACATGCATATGCGCACACACATGTACACAAACACATACATACACACACGCGCACATATACACACACACGCACACACGCACATGCACACACAGTCACACAGACACGCACACATACACACACAGGAAAAAAAACACACATATCAATGCAAACAAAACATACACATACGCATACACGTAACGTTACGCATACACACACACACATAAACACGCGTATGAATAGCCCGTCACAATGACTATCAACGTATTGAGTGAGTAGCACAAGCACTGGTCTGTCAATCATATCTCAAAACAAAATCGAGCAACACTGCCTTTTAACAGAACTTGTTTGGACAGCAAATCGGCCTGCTCACCGCGTCGTTCTGGACAAATTTGGTGAGCAGCGCTGCAGAGCCGACTGGGATGTCGCGGCGTATGATAGCGAATATTGTGTTCAGATCCATTCCTTTGTCCGGACCCACAACGTGGCCATCCGATCCAGGTCTGTCGTGTCCACAAAATTAATTCATACACACACACACACACACGCACGCGCACACACGTGCACAGGATATAAGCAGATTCGAAAGGTGTGCCAAAAATACGCCCCAAAGGATGCACTGCTCAAATGATGCATGTCATGTCGCACAAGTGGTGCAACACATGCGGAGCAACACATGAGGAGCAACAGGGCTATGAAAATAATATACTGGATACTAAAAATTGTTACATGTCTACCCTTGATAGTAGACAACCGGGGGGGGGGGGGGGGTCAAATGTTTGCCTTAGAACGAGTTTTATCTACTACAGTCGTCCCTCTCTAATCCAGCACCTTTTGCAACGGCACTTTCTGCTGGATAAACAAGGGTGCTGGATTATCAAATCCGGCCCTCCAACCCGGCCCACCTGTTAACATACATGTTTGTGTCGTACGTCAAAACGTAGGGATTTTCTGTGTCAATCCAAATACTTTGTGGAATGCATGTCTCTAACATACACTTGGGAATATCGTATGCACTGGCATAGGATATTCCCAAGTGTATGTTGCATGTGTTGTGTATGTTACAATGGTCCCTGACGGTATGCGAAGTACAACTGCTGGATTAGAAAATCGAATTATGTACAGTTGGAGTGATTTGTTGCAGAAAATCGCTGCTGGAGGCGGAATTCAAGTGCCGGATTAAAGCGAAGAAAATGAACTGAAAAAATCCGTTTTGCCTGAAAGTATGCTGGTTTGCAAGGGTGCTGGATAAACAAGTGCCGGATTAGAGAGGGACGACTGTATCTGGACTTGAATGTATGATTGGTAAAAGCGTTTCCGGCGTCAGAGGATTTTTGATTGTTGTCTACTAATGAGATTTGTCTTGTAACCTATGTCATACTAACCAGGGTAGAACTGTACACGCACAACACAGACCTCCTTGGAGTCTTCCAGTTACCCAGTAGCACTCACACTTTCTCCGTGACCGCTTCCGCCAGGACTGCCCTGTCCTCGTTGGCCAGGAAACGTCGCATGAAGTCTTCGTATGGTATGGACCTGCTGGCTTTGGTCAATCCCACACTGCAAGAACACATTTGGAAGTATTGTAACACCAAATATCTACAGTTGAACTCAAATAAGACCTTGAGTCTTCATATGGAATGTACCTGCTGGCCTTGGTCAATCCCACGCTGCAAGAACACGTTTGGATGGAAATGTAACACCAAATAGCGACAGTGCAACACTGATAAGATCTTGGCGAGTGGAGGAAAGTACATGTACGCAACCGTCCTATAAACGCATTACACGTTCATTCTGCTTTGCCTTGTACAATCGTCATCATTGTGCACAAGCTTATAGCCCAGTCTCTGCATGCTGTGCAGCCAACTAGCGGGGATTTCCCCGTCACGACTAAACATTTCAAAATTATTGAACTGC